TTTACTGTGAATCTGCTGCCTCTGTCCCCTGGTGTCCCGGTCATGGTCAGCATCCAGGGGTGCAGTGTGGCCCCCTTCCCCATCACAGCTGTCAGAGTCACTGCCACCCTAACGGCCCGTCACCTTCTCCTTGCTGTCATTTGTAGTTTTGTCTTTGATTGTCCCAGACATCAACATCACAGTCCAGGTTTGCCTGTGTCTGGCAGTCTTGTAGTCTAACACTGCAGTATCCTTCTGTTTTTGCCTTTTTGTCTGATTCATTCATGTTCCTTTCCATGGCTCAGTAACTCTCTGTAATATGAACACACGACAGTTTACCCATTTTACCAATCAACGGACATTTGGGTCTGTCCAATTTCCGGCTGTTTGGAAGAGTGTTATAAATGTCCTTGTGCTTAACTTCTGTTTTATTAGGTAATGACTAAATGTGCCCTTCTGGTCGGTCCTCAGGAGTACACATTCCACACAGCTGTGATTTGGCTCGGATGTTTATTTGATCTTAATTCTTGGCGACACCTGCTCTTCTCCAGGCCTTGTGCTAGCCCCAGAAGGAGATGTGTCCATTATTGCTCTGCTGTACACCAAGCCTGCAGCCCGCAGTGCGGTTCCGTGCTTCCCAAAAGGTTGCGGGAAGTGTTTGACACTTTCATTAATGCTCTGTGCATTTTGCAAAGTTGAGTGTGTGATGAGACACAGCTGCCATCCAAATGTTTGTGCAACTCTTTTGAGTCTGGCAGAGCTGCCCTGGGGCACTGAGCTGGGCGAGTGTGGTTTTGTTTTGTCTACTGGCTTTCACAACTGTCTCTTCTGCTCAGGTTGGCCTTTCGTGGATCAGAGGAGATTCCCCGGGGAGGAGGGGCGAGGCTGGGTCTGCCGGCCTCCCCAGGACAGTGCATTTGGATTCTGGAGAAGTAATGTTCTTTCCTGACTATGCAACCTAGCTGTGCTTCCAGGTCTCAAAATGGGGCCGGCTGACACTGTGGGCTCCTCTGCAGCGGACAGCCTCTTACATGGCTGCTCCGCACCTATCATAGTCGAAGCTTTGTGGACCTAAAAGGAAAATATGATAGAGAAAATACCTGGGTGTGGTGATGCACACCTCCAACCCAGCATTCAGGAGGCCGAGGCAGGAGGGTGGCTGTGTGTTCAAAGCCCTGTGAGCTGCATAGTGTTTCCAAGGCCAGCCTGAACTGTGTAGTGAGACCCTGGCTCAAAAAAAAAAGAGAAAATAAATTTCTGCAGAAGTTTTAAACCTAAGCATAGTAATAACCATGGAGTGGTTACTATTGAGAAGAGTGGAATTCTTTGGGAGGGCTAACACTTCTTTGCATTGGGGTTCCAAGTGAGTCCTTCCCGAGTCTCATCCGACCAGAAGTGTCCCACCTGTACAAACCCTTAGGCTGTGGCTGCACAGAAAGGCTGTGGCCAGATTTGGCCGGTGGCCGCCTGAGCCAGGTGAACTCCTCAGATAGGCTGTGGAGGCTGCCACGCTGTCCAGCCTACCATCAAGATGTAGGTACCACCTCATCAGGTAGGAATTTGTGGGGCCCAGAAGAGGCTGCTGAGCTCGGGGAAGAGGTGTGTCACAGGGTCAGCTCCTTGCTGCAGGGACAGAGGAAGAGAGCCTGAGCCCGTGCCAGCTGCTGGAGCCCTTGGGGCATCCTGTGCAGCTGGAGTTCCCCAGCAAGGCAACAGGGCACAAAGAGCCGAATTTATGTGCTTCACATTTTCATCTTGATTGTAACATCACTCTCTGGCCTGTGACTGCCATCCTGGACGGCACAGGTGAGACAGTGAGGATGGAGCAAGGATGTTGCCGTCTTCCACTGTGGGCTTACCTGTACCTGTGCCTGTCAGTCCCTGCATGTGGCCCAACACTTACTTATTTTCCTTGGCAATATTTGATCATGGGCTCCTTTTGTTTTATTTTGTTTTCTGAGACAGGGTCTTGCTATATTGTTCCGGCTGGCCTTGAACTCACTATGTAGTCCAGGCTGGCCTCAAAGTTACAGCGATCCTCCTGCCTCAGTCACCACTCCATCCAGCTTCCTTGGAAATATTTGAGACATGTCCCTACAGTCATGTTTATGCAATAAATTTACTCTGTAAAACTCGTTTTACAAACTAAAAGATCAGTCTGAGTCTGGGCCTTCAGAGTTAATGAGGCTTGGCTGGACTTCAGCCTTCAGCCAGGCAAGCTGCACTTAAATGCTTGTTGTCTCTTACATTTTTGTGTTTACAGTTTTTACACACAAATTCTGCAGAAGGTGGAAGGTTGCAGTGTTTTTCCTTCTCCGAGTTCGGGTAGATTTGGGGAGTTGTGAGTGCTGAATCTGGTTACAAATCAGCTAGCTAAATGGACAGCTTTGCTTCCTAGAGACTTTAAAAAGTTTTGTTATTTTTGTTGCTTTATTATTCCAGGGCTGTTTTTATAAATTACTGGACACAGGCTTTTCCTGTCCTTCAGATCTAATCATTCTTAGGAGGCCTGACTGGTTATCTGAGTGTGCGCCATAATGAAGGCGTGTCTTTGAGTAGGGAGGGAGTTGCTCTCCCTCCCACGGTTTTAATTAAAATCACCTCTGCCACCCAACGCAGTCACTTCAGTGTGTCCTCAGCAATGTAGGAAAGCAGCAGTGTGCCCCAGCTGCCCCACTCAAGAAACCCTGCAGGCCAGAAGCCCCATGGTGGTGTGTTTCCCAAGATTTCCTGCAGGGTGCACTGGGAAGGGCTGTGTCCACACCCACAGGGAGGACACCTGTCCCACACTGACCTGTCCCCCAGTGACAGACCCCGCCTCCAGGATGGTGCCCACTTGGGCGATACTACGTGCTGTCACCTGTGGTGTGGAGAGCAGAGGCTGGAGGGGTGGGGGTTGATGTCCCAGGCTAATTCCCAGGAGCCTGTACCTGGCATCAAGCCCAACTGGCTTCTGAACTGTGGTTCCACCCACTTCCTGCCTCTTTGGGTAGCTTTTCCCAGAATCCACTTCCTGACACACTGAGCATCACTGAGCAACCTCCCAGTACCCCATCTGCAGTCCCCTCTGTGTGGGCAACACTATCTGCTGGCACAGTGTGCTGCTCTCCACAAGGCACTGGGATGTGCCAATGAAAGAAACATCAGCTCTTTGCCAGGTGCACATGTGTAATCCCAGCACTTGGGAGGCTGAGGCAGGAGGATGACTGAGAGTTTGGGGTTAAGCTGGTCTACATAGTGAGTTCAAGGCCAGCCTAAACTCCATAGTAAGCCCTGTCTCAAAAAAAAATTTTTTTAAAAACTATCTTGCATCTGTTACCAGTTCCTTTCTACAACAGGGCAGAAAATAATTCCTTTTTTTTTGTTTTTTTTCTGGTACCCGGAATTGAACTCATGACCTTGTGCTTGCCAGGCAGGCGCTGTGCCACTGAGCTAAATCCCCAGCCCCGATTCCTTTTTTTTTAATGGACATTTTTAGGTTTTGGATCATAGCAACATTAAACAGAAAAGCCAGGCATGGTGACACATGTTTGTAATTCCAAGCACTCTGGGAGGCTGAGGCAGGAGGATCACAAGTTTGAGCCCAGTTTGGGCAATTTAGCTGAAGGCCTTGTCTAAAAATAAAAAAGGGCTGGGGGTGGAGCCCACTGTGAAGGCCCTGGGTTCCATCTGCAGTACTGTAACACACACGAAGTAGCATTCCTACATGCCCTACATGTGCACACCCTTCCCACTATCATCATCCCCACAGAGGGACATTTGTTACCATGGATGAGCCTGTGGCCACAGGTAGTTATGGCCCAAGTCATGATTCTGTGAGTTTGGACACAAATACAATGGTGTGATGAAAACACTTTTTTATATTGTAAGTATTCTGGAAAGCCTGGTGGTCAACTTTCTGTTTATAAAGTTGCCAGCATGGATCACACATTCCAATAAAACCACCACCATTGTTGCGTTACTAGGTCTAAGGTGCTGCCTCTGTAAGCTGATCCCAGAGGTGATCTGGGAAGCATGGGGTCCCCACTCCATTACTCTCAGCTCTCAGATGCTTACCCATTGAGTGCTTTGTGACAGGAACCTGTAAGCAGCAGCAGCAGCAGCAGCAGCGCTGTTACCAAGCTCCACGATGCCAGGCGCTGGGCTGTGTGCTTCCCTGACGTTCCTAATGTGGTTGGCACAGCGGCCCTGTCATTGGCATCGCTCTGCCAGTTTACAGATGTTCAACTAAAAGTTGATACCCTTGACCGCCAAGCTCCTCTGCATTACGCGGTTCCAAGGGCGTTTTAGTCTGTGTCTTTTGTGTAAATAGGTCTCCAAGTTTCAGAGTCCTTGAACAAATACATTTGAGAGCCTGCTGTTTACAGGCATGGCAAGTGCCATATACTGTTCCTGCGTGACAGCTGCTCTATTACTCTTTGCTGAATACTAGATATTGGTGGGTCTATTTAATCATTCAGCCTTGCAAAGCTAGGTATTATTACTGCCAGTTTCTGGACAAGAGAGCTGAGAGATGGGAACGGTTAGGAATGGGCTTTCTGCCTCAGCTGATAGATTTGTGTCTGTGTCTTTCCAAAAGTCAGGAGTGGTTTGCCTGCCCCTGGACCACCTGTGTCTGTGGTCCTGGGACGTGGCATCTCTGAGGCTGCCTTGCCCTCCTTTCCCCCTGGGGCACAGGACATAGACATGGGCAGCCACACACTGGCTGGAGGCTTGCTGCACACAGGGCACTGCGATGTGGTGGAGCTGTGTGTCGAGGTCCCCATACCTCACTGCGGAGGGCCATGTCCTGCTGATGCTGTGACCAGGACCACCTGCTTCAGGTGGGCGAGGCAGGAGCAGAGCTGTTTTTTGTAGTTCTAACAAAACTGCTGCTCTTTGCCATTTGAAAGCAATGCTGCACCCCGGCAAGAGGGTATGTGTCCCAGAGCAGCCCTGGGGCCTCCAGGGCTCGCACGTGGTACTCTGGGGTGTAGTGTCTAAGCACACACGTTTTAATGGGCAAATTCTCTGTATTTTAGGCTTTGGATGTGGACCGGATGGTTCTTTACAAAATGAAGAAATCAGTGAAAGCAATAAACATCTCTGGGCTGGGTGAGTACTGTTCTTGTTCCCAGGTTTCTGTTAAAGTCTTGATGCCGTGACGCTGGTCACCATTAGCCAGTTAACAAACCTAGACGGCAGAGGTGAGCTGTGATGTCCTCGCTCCAGAAATGGGCATTGTTTACCTGCCACCTGATTCAGGGATGCCCTCCATCTTTGGTCTTGCTGTGTGAACCACCTTGTCACATTGGCTGCTGAGGACCCCTCCCCTGCGGTTTGGATGGTGCTGAGAATCACGCTAGAGTTCCCTTTCCATTTCTTTCTTCTCCAGTTCCTGCCTTTCCTAGTTTGGGAAGAAAATGAATAAATATGGAAGCATTACCAACTAGTCAAAGTAAATGTATGTGTAACATTTGTAAGTTTGTAATTGATCTAGACCTAGAGACATGCATCAGAAAAACTCAATGTAACTTTCAGCCTCAAGATGACAGGCTGCACATATGTGGCAGGTCTGCCCCACACAAATCCTGTGCATGATAGAAAATATTTTTTAAATGGTCATTGTGTACTGCAAACATGTACTATTAAAAAAAAGATTTAAAAATTTTTAAAAAACAGCATAGGTCATGAAACCTAGTCATCATGGGAATAATCCAGGTATGCAAATGATAAATCCTGATTTCAAATCTGGGGAAAACAGTTATCAAGTAACTCTCTAGATTCACTGGGAAACAGGAGGATGGTGGCCCTGGGATACTGGTGTGTTGTACAGGGAAAGGCCAGCTTGTGGGAGAGCACCCTGCTCAGGGCCAGGAGGAGTCTGGGAACCTGAAGGTGGCCCCTGATGTCCCTGCCCTGCTGTGTCCTCTGCACCCTGTGGGGTCTCCCTGTAGCCAGGTGACTGGAGCTGGGCGACAGGGAATGTCTTACTTGTGCTCAGGTCAGTGGGACATAGACCCCACCCACAGTTGGAAGAGTACAAAGTCACAGGGCTCTTGGTACCCACTCAGTAGCCTTTCTGAAGTTCCGTGTGTCCAGCAGGCTGCCCATGCACCTGACCTCGAGGGTCTCCTATTTTTGTCGTCTTGCACCCGTCTATCATGGCGTGCCAAGTTTGAGTTATTATAAGGCCATGAGTCTGACTTTTTTAAAAAGCCAGATTCCTGGTCCTGAAATCTTTATTTCAAAATAAGTGTTATCTCCTTTCAAAAGTCACCTGAGGAAACTCTGTACTTACCCTGTGATGTTGCTGACATCATTTGTAGCATTTTGGGAACTCTTTTTCTAGAACTGCTTTTCGTAGCACATTCTTTTGAATATATTTAGTAGGAAAGTCTTAAGGACAGATTAAATTGTCACAAATAAGTCAGGCACATTCAGTAAGGGATTAAGGTGCTGGCTACCACAGCTGGTTAGGTGTGTTGTAACTGCTCTGAGGGCCCCCATTTCACAGAGGGTCCCTCTTCTGGTCAGAGCATTAAGAGTGTGTGACAATTTAATGCATCGCTTCTCTAGTGAGAAGATTTTATGTAGGATTGAAAGAAAAGTGAGAATAATTTAGCATTTACTTCTCACCCTGCCCTTCCTTTTTTCTGATCTCTTCATCCTTATTTTTCTTGAGCCTGGGACTGCCCTGATTTGTCTTGGGTTGGCCCTGTCTGACCTTGAACTGCGCCCCACGTGTCTGCTCTTGCCTGGCTGCCACTGCTTGGGGACTCATGCTGACTGACGTCTGTGTCTTTGCACAGCCACACCCTGGGCTCTACATGCTGTCCCCTGCCCTGGTTACCTGGGCGGGACCTGTCTGTCCTTCCCCACCCTTACTCAGTCATAGGGCCGAGGCATGGTACAGGGCCAGCCTTCCTTGTCTCTCACCTGGGTTCCTTCCCTGTTGCTTCTGTAATGAGTTCCCACACAGCAAGTGGTTGCAAGAAACACAAATTTATCTTTCAGTTCCGCAGGTAAGAATTGCACTGTGTGTCTTGCCAGGCTAAAAATCAAGGCCTTATCACTGGACCTTCTCACCAGCTCTCACGAAGAATCCGTTTCCTTCTCTTTTCCAAATTCAGAGCCACCTGCATCCTTGCCTCTGAGCCCCTTGCATCTGCAGAGCCAGTGGGTAGCCATTGAGTCTTTCTCACATTCATCAGTGCGTTGTCTGCTCAGGTTGCCTTGACAGAATAACAGACCGATGGTTCAGATGACAGGAAGTTCTTTTCTCACAGTTCTAGGGGTGGGAAGGCCTTCCTGGCTCGCAGACAGCTGCTTCCCTGCTGTCGAGGAAGCTGGCTCACTGGAGTCTCTCCACAGAAGCACACCCGTCCTGTCGTGAAGCTTCCATCTCAGAACCTCATCTGAACCTGATGAGTCCTAGGGGCTCCTTCTCCAAATGCCACCACACTAGGGGTGCGCACTTCAGTATTTGAATTATCTGGGATAATCTCTCCAGTTGATTCCTCTTGCTGAGGAGACACAGTTTCCCGGGATTGGGACAGAAATTTCTGTGTGGGTGATGGGACTTTATTCTACCTACTACACCTCACTTAAGAGCACTTCAAGTGTCCAGGGTGAATCTCTTTGACTCTTCTGGTAAGCCCTATAGTAAAGGATTCCTAATATGCAGGCACCGTGTTAACACTTTCAATACTGCTTCCTGTGCTTCTCTTGGAGTTTTATGTCTGTTGATCTTCATTCCTTGATTCCTTGCAAGCCTTGAGATTAAGAATCATTTTTCTAGAACACACAACTATAGAACATAGTGACTTTTGTGGTACAGAGCTCACAGAATCCAGGAAGCCTGAATTAAAAGCTAGTGGTGCTACTCATAAAGTCTGTGACATCATGAAAAGAATCTTTCTGAGCCCCGATTTCTTCATATGTAAAAATGGGATTGTTAACACTGTAGTTTGTAGGATTGTTAATGAGGATTGCCTGAGACAGCATGAGCAAGCAGCACTGAGGTTCTGGACACGAACGTGATTTTGCTTGTACTTCCTGTGTGTCCTTGGCAGTGGCTGGCACAGAGCAGGCAGATGCTCTTAGATGCCTAGTAAATTCTCAGTCATATATTGTCGTGCTTCTGCTGCAGGTTCTTGGGGTATGAGAGGTAAGCTGACAATTTTAGAAATAAGCAATGTATATTAGGGAAGACCCTATATTCTGCTATGTGAGGATTTCCGTGGATTTCTGAAGGAGATTTGAGGTACCTTAGAGCAGGGATGAGCGAGCACACTGATGAGACGCTTGTGGGTTTTTTTGGTCTTTTTTGAGACAGGGTGTTGATATGCAGTTAAGACTCACCTTGAACTCACTCTGTAGCCCAGGCTGGCCTCGAATTCACAACGATCCTCCTGCCTCAGCCTCCCAAGTGCTGGGATTACAGGCATGCACCACCATGCCTGGCCTGCCTGTGTTTTTATGCCTGTGAGCTAAGAATGGTTTTTAGCATCTCATTTTGCAGTTACACAATAGCCTCAGTGTTGCTTCTTATCCTGCAAAGCCTTAATATTTACTGTCTGGTTTTTGGAAAAAGTTTGCCAACCCCTGCTGTATAGCAGTGGTTCTGAAACTTCAGAGTGCATCCAGTCTACTGAGGGCTCTTGTGAAAACACAGTGACTGGACCACACCCTCCAAGTCTCTGGTTCAGCAGGTCTGGGATGCAGCCTGAGCGATTGCTCATTCAGCAAGCACCCGGGGGTTGGTGCTGGTCTCAGGAAGCCTCTCTCCTGCTTCGAACACTGCACCAGGCCAGAAGGGCACGAGTGTGTCCTATGTGTACACTACAATAGTCTTCTTACACAATAGCAGTGATTATGTCTGCTGCCAGTTGTTAAAAGGATGACACTGCCACATGTGTTTTCTGGACAGTCTTATGAACAAGGCTACACAAGCACTTACTATAATGATTCGTTGAGAAACTGTTCCTACAGCCTAATGGACACGCTCTGACCCCTTTAAAAACCCAGTTCATGTTTATTTAAAACTCTCAGTAGGCTAAAGTTTCCCAAACCATCTCAGCCCAGTGGTGGTTTCTCCCACTGGGAAGTTGAAGCTAACTTTTTTCGTGTTTGACATGTCAGCGGTTGGAAAATTCATCTTGACCAAGGGGAAGTAGCAAGACTTTCATTTTGACTTCTCTACAATTACTGTATCTTAAAAACTTGGAGCGCATTCCACTGAGAGTGATGTGCTCACCGTACCTTTAGTCTGAATGGCGTAGTGAAATGCCACACTCTTGAAAACTACAAATACTGATTTTTCCTCCAGCCATTACTGTCTTCCACCTATAGAAGAAGATAAAAGCCCATAACTTTGTGTGACTTCGTGATACTTCTTGTTATTTGCAACTGATAATTAGGATACAGTTTGGGTTTTGTTTTTTTTTTTTTGAGACAAGGTCCCACTATGTTGCCCGGGCTGGCCTCTAACTTGCAACGATCCTCCTGCCTCAGCCTCCCAAGTGCTGGGATTACAGGTGTGTACCATCATGTCCTGCAGAATATTTTAATAAAGTAAGCTTAAAATTAATACAGAACACTGTTTCTAGTGTAGATACCATATAATTAGAGTAGTTCAAAAGAAATATGTGCAGTTATTTAGGAAATGAAGTGTTATTGTACATTAAGAAAGGACTATATGTGGCACAACTTTCTCCCTGTTAATGAGATAATAACTAGGTCAAGGTCGTCCTTACTTTGTGCTTGGCCAAGGATACAGTGACGCTGGCATTCTGCACCACAGCAGCTTTTGGAAAGCAGTTTGTGATGTACTTTTCAGGCAGCAAAAATCAAGCTTGTGTTTCTGTGATAAAAGAAGGGGAAGAGTATAACATGATGATAAAAAGCGTATCTGTGCTGATATTTATAAATGTGATGGTAGAATACTAATAATGATGGTGGTAGAAGTATAATTCATGTAGGCTGGGCATGGTGGTGCACGCCTGTAATCCCAGCACTTGGGAGACTGATCAGGAGGATCTTTCGGAGTTTGAGACCAGCCTGGGCTACAAAGCGAAGGCCAGGCTGAACTGCATAGCGAGACCCTGTCTCAA